ATAAATAAATAAATAATGTCACCTTCAACAACAAGTTTGAGGCTGCCAAGGGCTACAGAAGACTGTCAAAAAAAAAAAAAGTGTGTAGTTGGGCTGGGGTTGGCTCATGACTAATCCCAGGATTTAGGAAGCTGAGGCAGAAGATTAATTGTGAGTTTGAAGTTAGGCTGAGAAACAGCGAACTCCAGACAAGACTGGAATACAGTGTGAATATATTAAAAAAAGCTGTGTGTGGGGGGAATTTCTCTTTGGTTCTGTAGAAGGTAGAGGGTATTTCAGAAAGAGTCACTCAACACACTGGCTAGAGGAGATGAAATGAAGAATGGGAACTGAGGGAGCATCGAGGAAACATACCTATGATTAAGCACAGGAAGCTGGGGCTGGAGAGATGGCTCAGAGGTTAGGAGCACCAGCTGGTCTTGCAGCCACCCAGGTTCAGTTCCCACTACCCACTTGGTGGCTAACAATCCTCCATACCTCCAGTTCCAGGGAATCCAACACCTTCTTCTGGCCTCTTCAGGCATTTCATGCATTTGGTACACTAACATACATGCAGGCGAAGCACTCATGCATATAAAATAAAAATAAATAAATCAGAAAAGCACACAGGGCACTGAGGAGGAGGATTGTCACAGTGTGAATTTCTGTCTCACACATATACGAAATTAGCACGGTGCATCAGCAACACTTTTTCCAAAAGATCTTCATGAAAGTGGAAGAGGATCAGAGAAGAATCTTTGGCTATGATAAATTTTGCTCCCAATCTATAAGACCGAACTTAAGAATGGAAAGCATGTAGTTCACGGCTTAGGTAAAAACAAAAAGAACAAAAGCCTCAAAACATAGCAAGAATCCTGGTGTGCTGACCCACGTCTATAATCCCAGGATTTGGGATACTGAGGCTGCAGGACTATGTGTTGTAAGCTAGTCTGAGCTGCAGGACAAGACCTTCTCACACACGAAAAACCAAGATGAGCCAAGACTTCTGAGATAGTTTATACAAATTCTTGAGATCTGGTCTGGATACACTTCTGCACTGCTGTCTGGCCCTTCTGCTCCTGGAAGAGCTGATCCACTACCTGGTTCCTTCTCTTTTTTCTTTCCTTCTTTTTCTTTCTTCTCTCCTTTCTTTCTTTCTTTCTTTCTTTCTTTCTTTCTTTCTTTCTTTCTTTCTTTCTTTCTCTCTCTCTCTCTCTCTCTCTCTCTCTTTCTTTCTTTCTTTCTTCTTTTTCTCTTCCTCCCTCACTCTCTGCCTCCCTCCCTCCCTCCTTCCTTCCTTTCTTTGTTGTGTTTTGTTTTGTTTGTGGGGAGGAAAATTTGTTGTTGTTTTGGGTTTTTGAGATAGGATCTCCCTATGGTCCCAGCTGATCTGGAGCTGTTTAGACTATGTAAAC